ATTCAGATTACAGTTTTGTATCCAACAGGACTGTTTTCAGTAGTAGGTTGGTAGAAAACCATACTGAAAATGGTTGTAACATACAGGAGTTCATTTTTCTCAGTAACAAGTGTGGAGGTAGATGGTTACTGGCCTTGGTTCAAGAGCTCAGTGATATGAGGGCCAGTGTCTCTGTGCTTCTCTTGGCCTTTCCCTGATGGTCAAAAAAATGAAAAAGTGCAGCTGCACATAATATCCATTATTAAGTCAGGAGGAATGAAGGAAAGAATAAGGAATTGTGTTGTTTCCTGAACTTCCCAAAACAGACATCTCTGAAGTTTCAATGGCTCCTATATGGACCTATAGTTACTCCTTGCTGCAAAGAAGACTAAGAAATTGGTTTGACTTATTGATGCTCTGAACAAATTGTTGTTCCAGTTCGTCCAGGAAGAAGGGCAGGGGGATGGATACTAGGTAGTTAATGAATGATGTTGGTTACATATTTCATATTTTGGATGCTATCATTTGAATGGGGTTTCAGGTAAAAGGAAATACCATGTTTAACTGCACTGTGAAGATTAAGTGAGGAAATCCGTTTGAAACGCTGAGCACAGTGCATGGCACATAAGGAATAATCAGCAAACACTCCCTCTCATGAGATCACCCGGGGTGTTCCATCTTTGCCCATGCTCTTAGTGGCGGTTGGACTGTCCAGGTGGAAGTGCCAGTAGGCTCTCAGATATGTGGGTCATCCCTGCAGAGAAACCGGGCTAGAGAAACAAATTTGGTTGTCATCTGTATGTGGATAGTGTCTGCAGGCTTGTACATGGATGGGATTACACAGGGAGAGCCTTTGTGAAGGAAGCAGGAAGCAGGCACCAGAGAGTTTAAATCAGACTTAAAAAACATAAATTGTGATGTTGGTACAAATAAAAATATTTACACTTTAAACAATGAATTTTCTCCTCTACCATCTACTGTGTGCAATATACTTTTTAAGGTACTGAATTATCAAAAAATTAAAGTACAGTAAGTTACAGAAATGGGTTGTAAATTCAGACCAAATGTAGTGCATTTATAGCTATATATAAATATGAATTATTTTCTCTAGTTATTAAAACATTTTTTAGAATGCTATGATAATAAGTCATGGAAATTAGAACTAAATTGTCTTTTAAAACATGGATATGGTTTCTTCCCAAGTTATTGAAATGTGAAATAAAACATGGACCATCATTTAGAGGTTTATCCTGGCTCTGACTATAGCAACCATGCTCTGTTCTTGCTAACAGGCCAGAAATATCCAAGGACACACTGCAGATGTATGTGTTTGTGTTTTTCTTCCTCTTCTGTGTTTCATTTTCTCTGAAAAATTACTGATAGTTTTCTTTTGTAAATTGCACTATGATTCCAATTGTAGAGGTAAGTTCTGCCAACATTTTTTGATGTGTAGGAACCATTTCGAATTCATCATTAAGCCTACTTTTTTTTTCCCTAAAATGAAACAAAAAATACTTTTATTTCTTGGTAATCATTTAAAATTAATACATAGAATTATGACACTGGGCATTAACCTTTGGCCATATCTACACAAAGTATATTTTCTTAAAGACTAAATAGTAATTTTGTTGAAACAAAACCCCCGGGGAAACTAAAAACATTTGTATTTGGAGACAGTGAGCCAAATTCTAAAACTAAAATTCCATCTTGATTACTGCATATTTTGAAAACCATATGTCATGTATCTCTACTCTGTACTTCAAAGGGTAATGGACTTGGGTATGTATACAACAGGATGATCAGTTGGTCACGTGGTCTGGAAAACTGGGTCATAATAGAAGGAATGCTTGACTACATGGGGGTATTTAGACTGAAGAAAGTACCACTTAGGGAATTGTGATTGTTTACTTCAGGTATTTGAAGGACTGATACAAGGCAAAGGATCGACGTTCTGTATTGTTTCAGAAGACAATATTTATTTATAGCAATGGGTGAATTTGCTTATTTCAGTCCCCCCAGCAGAGAATTTTCCTTTGAAGGTGTCAAACGTATCTAATAGAATTTTATCAGTAACTGGGAGGGGTCTATATCAGGCGTTGGCATACTGTGGCCTTCTGGCCAGATCTGGTCTACTGTCTGTTTTATAAACAAAGGTTTATTGGGGGCACAGCCATGCCCATTTGTTCCTGTTTTGTCTGCTGCTGTTTTTGTGCTACAAAGGCAGCGATGAGCGTTTGCAGTAGAGACTGGATGGACACAAGGTGTTTACCATCAGGCCTTTAACAGAAAGTGTTTCAGACTCCTGGTGTAGATAAGAGTGGAGGGTGTCATAGGAGATCTAACTCATTGGACAGTAAGGTAGCATGTGCTGTGCGTGTGTGTGTGCCCAGTCGCTCAGTCATGTCCAGCTCTTCGCAACCCAGTGGACTGTAACTTGCCAGGCTCCTCTGGACTTTTCCTCCTCCTCCGTGGAATTTTCCAGGCAAGAATATTGGAGCAGGTTGCCATTTCCTCCTCCAGGGGATCTTCCCAACCGAGGGCTCAAACCCAAGTCTCCTGCATCTCCTGATGGGCAGGCACATTCTTTACCACTGCACCACCTGGGAAGAATTAAGTTAGTGTAGGTGGCCTCAAAGATCCTGTCCAACTAAGATTCTATGGTTCTATAAAGAGTTGATAACATATATATATTTGAAATGTGTTTAGTTTGAGTCAGAAGTAGAATAGATATATTCATCGATATAATTGTATTTATCTTTTCCACAAATAGCATTTGTATGGAATGTCAAATTATAACAGCCTTTTGCTCTAACCACGAAATGCCATTGTTTTAAATTTCTAGCGGTTACAGAAGTGGACGGGAATGAAGCAATGGATTTCATGAATAATTAGGTAGTGTCAGATTCAAAGTTATTTAATATTTGTAAAAATAACTTTTCTCTGACAGACCATTAGTGGCATGAATTTCTATGTTAACAGACTTGCTAGTTTTTCCTAACTTTATCATCTGAGACTCTCAAAGTGCTTTGCTAGTATTTTTATACTTTATTCATTTAAATCCTTTTACAAACTGATAGTGTTATTAAGAAAGCTCCATTAGATGTTCTGTCTGTGTGTGTGCGTGTGTGTTTTTCATGACATGTTCTATGGAGATATGGAAGACAGACATTTTTCAGAAGAACAAAAATTCACTGAGAAGATGTAATTTTGGAAAAAAATTTTAATGTAACTTATTTGATATCAGTTACTCTGTTGGAAAACTAGAGACATGAAAAATATCTACAGTAGAGTCGGAGTTCTAATATCAGGTTTTAGACCTCAAATTCTAAGTCATTACTTTTCTTCTGCAATGTAACATCTTTATTAAAAGTGCTTAGATGCATGACTTTTGCTTTAAAGTTTACACTTTAAATATGTGAATTTAGTTCATCATATTTAATAAATGCACAATGTGACACATTTTAAAAAAATTAATGGACTTTACTTTTTAGAGCAGTTTTACAGAAAAATTGAACAAAAAGTGGAGAGAGTGCCTATATATCTCTACCTAACTCACTTCCTCTGTTATTAACATCTTGCATTTGATGGGCCAGTGTTGATACATTTTTATTAACTAAAGCCTATGGTTTACATTCTCTGTAGAAGGAAATGGCACCCCACTCCAGTACTCTTGCCTGGAGAATCCCATGGACAGAGAAGCCTGGTGGGCTACAGTCCCTGGGGTCACAAAGAGTCAGACACGACTGAGTGCCTTCGCACACAGACCATTAAAATACTGCTCCCTGCTGCCCTCCCCGACCACAGTGTGTGCTTTGCCCAATATTTTTAAAGTGTTGATTCCTAAACATGAGTGCATTTTAAATTTAAACTTGGTGATTCACTTTTAATTATAGTCTATGAAGTATTTTTCAAATAAATACTGAGTCAAATAAGGACTCATGATGAGAAAGTTTTGCTTGCCTTTGTAATTTGTAAGTAAACAATTGGACTGATTTTAAGTGAATCAAGTCAATTATAAAAATTAAGAAATTGAAATTAAATAAAACCACTCCAAACCTGCTATTTAAAAACAAATATGGATAATATTTCAGTGCCTAATAGAAGTATTTCTGTTTCTTTGGCTGGGGTGCTAACATCAAGCTCTTTGTGCTTTTAAAAAATACTTGAAAATCAGGAAATCATAGAGCTGACAGGCTCATGGAAGGTTACCTAATAGTTTAACAGCAATAAGTTCGAATGGGGCAAGCATCTCATCCCGTCATGTATAAATGGCAGAATGGGTGGGTGATAGGGTTTGACTGCAGAACTGGGCCTCAAAACCAGTCATAGATTAAACAGTTACTCTTACTGGATTCAACAGTTAAAATAGCCTATCATGATAATTTTTTCATTCCGTGAATGTTTAGTGTCTTTCCATCTCCCTGCTGAGGGTACAAAATGATTAAAGGTATTGTGAAAAGTCCAAACTGTCTGTCTGGGGGAAAGAGGGAAGGAGGTGAGTTCAGCACAGGCTGGGAGACACAAGGGTGGAGCCTGGGACTGGAGAGCTGGGGTGCCCGGAGGAAGGTGCTCCCTCCTACCTTGGGGGGACGGGCCTGGGTCGGCCGCTCTCCCTCTCACTGGGCTTTCAGCCCCCTCGCCACACCGTGCTTTCTTCTCTTAGGACTCTCGGACGCTCTCTCCTCTGCCTCCTTTTCCTCCAAGCCTTGCTGATCACCCCCACTCGCGCTGTTACCCCCTCTCACCCACCCTGCTCTGCTTCTTCACGTCGCTTAGCACAGCTGTTAGGAATTACTTGCTTGCTATCCCCCACCTGCACCCCCAGAGAATGCTTTCAGCTGTAGTGAGAGTTTAAAGCAAGTGGCTCCAACAGGTGGTGGTGGTGGTTGAGGGGGGTGGGGTTGTCCTTAGATATAAAGGGGCTCGGAGGTCAGTGGGTGTTGTATTCTGTGGGCTGGTCCTCAGTGTCAGGGCCTGGGTCTGTGGGGTTTTCTTATCTTTTTCCCTCATGGTTGTAAAAGGACCGCTCGACTTCCAGCACCGTGGCTGAAGCCTGGAGGAGGGGATGGCCCTGGGTCTGTTCCCTTTAATCTGGGAAGCAAACTCCGCAGGACCGCGCCGCTGTCCGCCCCCATCCGCCCAACAGCCTGCAGCACATTTCTGTGTGTGCACCATGGGCTGTCTCTAGCTGTAACCAGCTTCCCAGCCATGGTAACCAAGGTGAGTGTTCTTCTATGAGATGGTCAGTTTGGTGGAGCCACATATTTGAAGTTCAGGAGAAAAGTTTCCTATGCTCACAGGTCCTGGAGACAGAAGGCTAGGCATGCCTTGCACAGTCAAGGGGACAACAGCAGGGGAATCAGGAGGCAGCGAGGGGAAGGTTTGGGCCAGAGCCTTTGCTGGGGGTGTCTGTAGGAAGGCAAGGCAGGGCAGGTGAAACGTTTAGGATTGGATGTCGGAATCGTCCTGGAGGGCTTTGGGCTGTAGAGGTTGTCCCTAGTTGCCTGAAATCTGGTGCTGGGAAGTTTAAGTGCTTAGTTTCTCAGTCCTGTCTGACTCTCTGCAACACCATAGACTGTAGCCCGCCAGGCTCCTCTGTCCGTGGGATTTCCCAGGCAAGAATACTGGAGTGGGGGTGCTATTTTCTGCTCCAGGGAATCTTTCTGACCCAGGGATGGAACCCATACCTCTTGCATCTCCTGTGTTGCTAGGCAGGTTCTTTCCCACCAGCTACCTGGGAAGCCCGAGGGATATTTAAGAGGAAGGATTACTGCCTGTTGGGATGCGGGGCCCAATGGAGGGGGTAGGGCTCAGAGGGGTTAGTTTCCATTAAAGGCAAGCTCAGGGCTATCTCTAAGAATTGGCAAGCCTCCAGGAGGGGCAGCCTGTCTCCAGCCAGAAAGGTTTTTTTAAGCTGTCAAAACCTCATAATATAGAGAAAATATACAGTGAGGGAGCGGGGTGGGTAATGGTGTGGGTTCACTGTTCAACAATGCCCACCACATCACAAGACGCCTGAAGGGAAGGGGTCCTTCTGTTCTCCCTGAATTCCCCAAGCCTGGCACAGGTCCTGGCACACAGGACAGACAGAACATGTATGTCAAAAAGAGAAAGTGGGATCAGGACATTCCAGGACAAGGGAATACCAGGCACAAAGACACGGAGCCTTTGTGTGAGTGTGGAGACAAGTGACTGGAACACAGGCAAATGACAGGGACTATTGGAAACGGAGACTAGAAAGGAAGTTTGGGGTCAAACTGTGAAAATCCTGTATGTTGTGTTAGTTGGTCTTGTCTTCTTTCAGCACTGGGGAGTCATTGAAAAAGTTCAGTCAGGGAGCAGCACAGAATTTGGGGGTTAGGGTGTTAACTTGGTAGTGTGGGCTAAGAACTGGAGGGAGAGGGGCAGGAATCAGGGAGACTAATTAATATCATACTGTGGTTTGATAAAATAGAGGAATAATAATCAGGGAGTTAGGAAAGTGTAGTTTTGAGGTCACCATGTAGAACAGATTTTCTAACTGTGACTCTGGACTAGTAGTATCAGCATTGCAGGGGGATTCTTTACCAGCTAAGCCACAAGGGAAGCCCGGAAACTTTTTAGAAATGCAAAACCTTGGGCCGCCACAGAATCAGAAGCCCTCGCCCGGGGTGGCTGGGGTGGAGGGAGCTGTCAATGAGCCGGCAGTCTGTGTTTTGACAAGACTACCATGGGACTCTCAAGCACTTGAAGCATAAGAACCACTAACTAGAGTAATAGGTTTGGGGGGTGCAATCGAGCAAGCTGATAGCAGCCTCTGTGCACATTAGAATCACCCAGGAGCTTTTTCAAGGCAATGAGGTTAGGCCCTACAGTAGACAACTAAATTGGAATCTCCAGGGGTAGGACCCAGGCATTGATTTCTTGATATTCCCAGACACTTCCAAAGTGCAGTCAGGCTGAGAACCACTGATCTTGTTTAATCCTCAGTGGTGAGAAAATTCAGAGCTGGAAGGTGAGCTGCTCAAGGTCACACGGCAAGTTCAGGTAAGAATCCATTTTTTAATCTTCTTTATGATGCTTTAAACATGATCCCAACTTTCAAATACTTTGCTTTAAGACAATGGCTTCTAAATCATCCATAATAACAAGTATTATTATCAAATTTTTAGAAGTAGTTTACAGCATTATTTGAAACTCAGTTCTCCTTTAATTAACAGTATTTCACATTTCAGAAAGTTATCCTTTTTGTAAAGATTTCATAAAAATAGTTATTTTCAATATCAACAAAAAAGACTATACATAAGATATGGGTGAATGGAGCTTTTCTATTTGTGTGCATTAAGTAATAACTTTTTTTTTCAACTCTAGGTGGAGCTCTTTGGTTTATACATACATATATTGTTTTATTTATAATTTTGAGAATTTTAAATAGGAACTGAGATTATTTTTAAAGTTTAAAAATTTGTAAAATGTTCTCAACATCACTCTGCTGTTCTTCTGGTTTTAGAGTCAAAGATATAAAAAACTCATTTTTGTTTCACTGCTTGACCAAAGAATCCAAATCCAGGCCTCAGAGTCATTTTCTTTTTTTTTTTTTTAATTGGAATTATTATTATTATTATTATTTTGGTTTTTGTCATACATTGAAATGAATTAGCCATGGATTTACATGTATTCCCCATCCCAGTCCCCCCTCCCACCTCCCTCTCCACCCGATCCCTCTGGGTCTTCCCAGTGCACGAGGCCCGAGCACTTGTCTCATGCATCCAACCTGGGCTGGTGATCTGTTTCACCCTCAGAGTCATTTTCAAATGCATCTTATATCTCTTTTGTTACCTCATAGTCCTTAACGAATGGGATCTGTTTCCTATGGCTTTTGTTTTTGATAAGGCTCAGTGTTGAAACAGAATTTCTGTAAGATGGGAAGACGGGTTTCCTTTTCTGAATTGTCAGTAGAAAAAAACCTAGAGGATAACACAGCTGTTGCTATAGTAATTTCTTCAACTATTTTTATCCCACTGTGTAGAAAGGAACATTTAACTGCTATCTTCCTGCAACACAAATGAAACATTTTGCTTCCACTTCTTTTGCTCTTTCCTCTCTGCTATCTTAATACTCCCCCTTCTACTGGGAGTGCAATTAAGCAGAATCCCCTGAATATGCAACATGTGATTTTTAGGTGATGTGAACCAGTGATTGTGATTCCTGGACCAGCAGCATCACCACAGGCGTCATCTGGAAGCTGGTTAGAAATGGAGATTCTGGGGTCCCACCCCAGACCTACTAAATGAGAAACCCCGGTGGCGGGCTCTGGCAAGTGTTGAACCACGGGTATAGACTATTTTCAAAGGACAGAAAACCTATATTCTCAGGAGCCTACATAAAAAACTCCAGTGCAATCAGCTATGCCCACTTTGGGCTTGTTCAAGGCATTTAAAATCACCTAGGGTTTTTGTTAAAAAACAGGATTCTCATTCAGTAAGTTTGAGATAGAACCTGATACTCTGCATTTCTAATCCAAGCTCCCAAGTGAGATGGATTCTGTTTATCCATGGAGGACATTTTGAGTATGGAGGATATTGACCATACTCATACACACATATGAAAGTTACCTATTTTTTCTGAGTATGTTTTGGTTTAATATATCTAAAATCAATGAATATTTTCTTTTCAACACAGTGGGAAGAGACAATTTCTGGAATACAGTGCTTGCTTGTCTAGTTTAAAGTGACTCACCCTTATTAAATGCGACAAGAGAGTATTGTTTGCCAGGTTTTGTCTCTGAGACCCTCTATTATAGCAGCAGCAGGAACACTTGAGGATTGAGTTTTTTTTTAGCTGAGAAATTTATTCATGGCATGATGAAGCCATAAAGACTAGAAGTTTGTTTTAGACAAAGTTTCAGACAAAAAGAAGTGGTTCACAAATGTTTGGACTCATTCACTGAGTGCTTCATATTTATTTAGCACCTCCCATGTGAAGCATTGTGCTAGGCACTTCGGGAAATTAAAAATCCTTGGCATTGAGCTTATAATCTACCTGAGTAAATAAAACCTTTGCCTATGAAATATAATTACCTATACAGAGAGCATTCTGTCAAATGGTAGAGAAGTGTGGTAGAACCTCAAGAGACCAAAGGAGGTTAAAATTATGGAGTCTGATTTGGACTTTGGGGTGAGTAGAATTTGGATATTCAGAGCAGAGTGAAGAAGTGGAGGGGTAGCTCCATAAAAGACAGGGTGGTAGGACCAGAGTGCAACTTCCAGAAGTGAACCACATGGGAATATGGAAATAGTTCAGACTATAGAGGATGAGATGGTTGGATGGCATCACCGACTCAATGGACATGAGGTTGAGCAAACTCTGGGAGATAGTGAAGGACAGGGAAGTCTGGCATGCTGCAGTCCATGGGTCGCAAAGAGTCAGACATGACGAGTGACTGAACACCACCACCACCATGGAGTTTAGACTTTCTGACTGGGAGAGATTTTAAAAGTGAGCCAGAGCCAGACTAGTAAGGATTTAACTGTGAGGCTTATGAGTTTACACTGGCCATTTTGCCAAAGATTATCTCTCCCCAAATCCTTGGAACCCATGTAAAGCTACTTGAGCCTAAACCACTCAACCTGAATTGTTTTTTAGAAAACACAAATGCCTTAATAATGCCAAAACACACTCATGTGACCCTCTTTCCTGTGATGTTTGTGGCTTTATATTCCGGTTTAGACAGTCATCCAGCAAAATTAGAGCCTGGTCCAGTGGTGCCTCATTGTTGATGTTCTTATCCGGGTACAGTCTCAATTATTGACATGATATTTGGTTGCAGCCAAAGAAACCAAGGTGTGTATATTCCATGTGGCCATGGTGTTGCCTTAGAGCATCCTGATGGCTCAGTCTGTTTATGCATCTCTACACCTGTTGATGAATAGATTATTGCCTGTAGCCTGTAAGGAAGCATTCATTCATTCCACGAACGCTGTGAAGAATCTGCTATGTCAAAGTACTGGAAACTGTGGATATAAAGATAATATAGTCTCTGCCTTCCATAACAGTGGAAACTGAAGATTCTATAGCAGTTTGGCTTTTGCAGCCCCTCTTCCCATGAGATTCCTACCCCAATGCTCATGGGAGCAGAGCCCATGGTAGCATCTTCTGACAATACTGACAGATACTCATAGGCAGGGAGGGCACCAGTCCCTCTTAGTAAAGGAAAAACCCTATTTTGTTAATACTTCCAACAATTCCATTTGCTCTAGCTGCCACAAAAGCTAGATGGTATTCCTTAGGTCCCTTCTTCATCATTATATCTAGTGACCTGTGACCTTCTCCTCTGACTCTTACTTAACATAAAAATATACCCAGTGTATCACCAATCATTTCTTTACCAGTCCTTGTTATATTTTTGAATCTTGATTCAGCTATGTAACACATTCATTATTCCCCACACATCATCAATTAAAAGACATAATAAATATCCTTTCTATATAACTGTCCAAATATGACAGTATCAAACAGGACTGGGGTCAGTAGCATGAGTTAGAAACTTCCCACCTTGTTCACATATATAGACATATTTGCAAAGATATAATGTCTAAAAGAATTATATCATTATGAAAATGTTCAAATGCATGCAAAATTAAGGGAATAGCATAATGAACATCTATATCTAGATTTTGCAGTTGTAATATTTTTCCATATTTCTGTCACAAACAGATTTTTTTTCCTAGTTGGGACAAACCAGCTGTAAAAGATATTTGAGGTGCTGATAGGGGGCATTTGAATATGGCCTGGGTACTAAGGAACATTGAGGAATTAGTGCTAAATTTGTTAGGTCTAGTAGTAACATCATGGTTATATAGGAAAATGTGTTTTAAAATTCAATGTTCTGAATTATTTGGGTGAAAAGTGATGTCTGTAATCTTATAGTACATGAGGTTGTCGTGAAAATCCAATGGGAAGAAAGTTGGGTAGGAGATATCTAAAGAATCAGAATAATGGCTAAATGGTCTTTGTCAGTGTATGCTGATGCAATTGTTTTGAGAATAGAATATTTCAATAAATTCTAAGCAACAAGCCAACTTTTAAAAATTATACAATGTACAAAATCAGGGTCCTCACCTGATCCTGGGCCCCATGCCATCTGAGAGGTCATTCCATCCCATTTCTCCACCACTGATGTTGCTATAATTTATAATAAAAAAACTGTGTCTATCTTTTGGTGTAGATTTCTCAAAAGCGTTTCATCAAAATGTCCATATTCCTCTTTGCTCTATCAGAACATGCCCCAGATGAAACCACTGAGTCAAATGTCCTACATCAGATTGTCCAATAAAGGATAAAAGCAACATGAATGGTGACTTAGGAACCATGAAAAGTAGT